ACAGGAAAAAACCATCCCTTTGCTTAGAAACTGTAAATCATTAGCAGTTCCTAGGGATGATCTTTGCTGATTTCTGAAAGTGTGTCTCTTTAGTTTAAATCTGACAACAGTGTGCTGTCAGAATTGATTATTTGAGCACACTTAGTTTTTTGTGGTCCTAAAGATATCATGAAGCCTGGGTAATTAAATACTGAAGGCAGGGCATCTGGCCTTACTTCAGTTAAAAACAATTGCCAAAAGAATGCCTGTAATTTAAATACAAAAATATGATGACATTTTATCCTCTAAAGACATCCATACTCTAAATCTTAGTTCTTAAAACTACCTTCTTTGAAAAGTCTTGTTGAAAGACAGAAAGGAAAATATATTTAATAAATCAACATAACATATTGTGACTTCTAATTAAGGATATTATTTGTATATTTTTGGAACTGACTATATTTCACTGCCATTAAATTTTACCATATGTTAAATAAAATTCCACTGGGTACATTTTGCCATGTCTGGGGACCAATCTGGCTGATTAGCTTTGCTCTGGGAACCCTGATGTCCTGTATGTGTTGAGTGAAAGATTCCTCAGGCATTCAAAATAATTGAAGGAAAATAATAGAGTAACATTGTAGACCCTTCTGCTGTGAAAATGAACCATCCAAGTAATAAATAAGCTTTTCTGTCTATAGTTGACACGATTTAACAGGGAAAATGTTTAAATTTAAGGAAAGAAAAATTCTTTATATATTTGATTTGATTACATATTTCCATTTCTTTCATTTACATGTTAGGGTTTACTTTTGTTGAGCTGAATCTTTCTGTGATTTCTTCTGTCCTTTGCTGGGTGGGAAGACAAACTGTGACATATTTAATGCTGCTGATCTTTTTTTTTTTTTTTTTTTTTTTTTTTTTTTTTTTTTTTTTTTTTTTTTTCAGAATTACTGGATACAGTTATAAGGACAATTTCACCCTGTGTTGTTGTTGTTGTTGTTTTTAATTTAATTTGGTTTATTTTTTATAAGCAGGTTCTTATTAGTGATCCATTTTATACATATTAGTGTATACATGTCAATCCCAATCTCCCAGTTCATCCCACCACCCCACACCCACTTTCCCCCCTTGGTGTCCATATGTTTGTTCTCTACATCTGTGTCTCTATTTCTGCCCGGCAAACCGGTTCATCTGTACCATTTTTCCAGATTCCACATATATGCGTTAATATACAATATTTGTTTTGCTCTTTCTGACTTATTTCACTCTGTATGACAGTCTCTAGGTCCATCCACGCCTCTACAAATGACCCAATTTCGTTCCTTTTTATGGCTGAGTAATATTCCATTGTATATATGTACAACATCTTTATCCATTCATCTGTCGATGGACCTTTAGGTTGCTTCCATGTCCTGGTTATTGTAAATAGTGCTGCAATGAACATTGGGGTACATGTGTCTTTTTGAATTATGGTTTTCTCTGGATATATGCCCAACATCAGTATACATGTTGAAGTACTAAATTCCAGGGACTGAAAAAGAGAAATGTACTTAGCTAACTGAAAATACACAGTCCACTTCTTGGGAAGCACTGCTAAATGGTCCTGGAGGAAGGTTTTTAGTGAAGCAATAGAAGCATTCTTTCTCTGTTCTCTGGTGAACCCACTAAACCCAGAAAGCACAAATGCAAATTACACTGGTACCAATTTAAAAAGGATATTATTTGTCCCTTACATTGTTTCCCTCTCCTGTTTCATCCCTGGAAGAGCCAAAGGCAGTTTCTTAAGTGGAGAATAAATGAGGAAGAAATAAAGAAGCTAACAGTGTCTCATTTCTTAAATCTATGGCAGACCTTTTAATTCCTAATACTTTAAAGTGTATCTCTTAAAAACAAGGACATTCTTTTACATCATAGTACAATGATCAAAATAGGAAATTACTTGGTACAATATTATTATCTAATCTATAAACCTTATTTGAAAATTCCATCAGTTGTCTCACTAGTCACCTTTATAGCAAAATAATGTATATACTTATTCCTGGTCCAACATTCAATGCAAAATCACAAATTACATTTATAGGTCATTTATATTTAGATGTCTTTAACCTGGAAAAGTCTTCCATGATCTTACCTGATCTTGACATGTCTGATGAGTTTGAACCAGACTGCTTGTAAACTATCTCTTATTGTGTGTGTTTGTTTTGAGGTTTTCTTATGATTAGATTCAGGATCTGCATTTTTGGCAAGAGTATCCCAAAAGTGATATGTGTCCTTTTCAGTGAATGATATCAGGAAGCACCTCACATTGTCTCATTACTGGGTGACTTTTATCACTTGCTTAGGTGATATCTACCAGATTCGTGCACTGTAAGGTTGTTATAACTCTTCATACTTAATAAATATTTTGTGGGGAAATTCTATGCGATGGTAAATATCCTGTTTCCTATCACAAGTTCATCTACTATAGTTCACCCACATAATTCCTACCTAAACAAATATTATGATAGTAATGTCTGGGAAATGGTAATTTTATAATTCTATCATTTCTTCTATGTTTATTGAAATTCTACTGTTAAGTAAGCATTTCCTTTCTCTCCATTTATTTATTATATTCATTTATATTGCATGGACCCTTGAATCCTAATTTACTCTATGGGTTATGATCTACCAGTATCACTATTTTTTGATGCCTACATTCTCCCAGATTTGGTCAGTAGAAACTACTTCCAGGTCACTCCTATGTTGTTTTCCCACCATTCGCTGAGTCCTCTGTTTCCTTCTGGTTCTAAGCTGATCTTTATATGTTCTTTCCACCAATTCAAGACTCAAATCATTTGTTTGAGAACACAGGTTGCTTTTATTGGAAAATCATATTTAGAAATCAAGATCTGGGTGACAGGTGTGCTCACTGTAACTGCAGTGTTTTGCTTCTAGACCTAAGCACAGACAATGTTATGAAATACACACACACACACACACACACACACACACACACACACACACACAAACCTCCACATAGATCTTTACACTAGTCTATTCATAATTGCCAAAAATTGGAATCAACTAAATTGCCCTTCAATAAGTTGATGGTTGAAAAAAAAAAAGTGTTATTCAGCAATAAAAATAAATGAGCTATCAAGCTATAAAGACATAGAGGAAACTTAAATGCATATTACTAAGTGAAAGAAGCCAGTCTTAAAAATTATACATAATATATGATTCTATTTATATGATATTCTGGAAAAGGCAAAACTATAAAGACAGTAACAAGGTTAGTTTTGCCAGGGGTGTAAGGGAGGAGAGGATGAATAGGTGGAGTATAGCGCATTTTTTAGGGCTTATATGGGAAATCTATTTTTTACAAAATTTTATTCTGTAACCCTACAACTGATTTTTATATAACCACCATGGCCTATGGCAGCCTGTCTGATCTCAGCGCCCACCATGGCCTATGGCAGCCTGTCTGATCTCAACGCCCACCATGGCCTATGGCAGCCTGTCTGATCTCAACGCCCACCATGGCCTATGGCAGCCTGTCTGATCTTAACGCCCACCATTGTTTTGGTGCTCCTTCTGTTCCAGCCTCATGACCTTCTTGCTGTTCTTAATTTGTTTCCAACTCAGGGCCTTTCTGTTTGCCCTTTACTTGCTGTTCCCTCTAGCCTGGAACCACGCTTTCCTGAGCTCTCCCCTGGCCTGTGCCCTCCCTTCATTTAGGACTCTTTTCAGGTCATCTCATCAGAGAGGCTTTGCCTGACCAGCTCATCTGGAAGAACCCTTCTCCCCTCACTCTGCATCCTCCTCTTATGCTTTAGTTGTCTTCATAGCACTTACCTTTACCTGAAGTTGTATTCTGTGCTTGTTTGCTCTTAAGTGCTGTGAGGTCAGGCTTCATCTGTCTGTCTTGTTCACTGAAAGATTCCCAGTGCATTAGCAGTACTTGGCACCATGGTAGGGACTCAATCAGTATTTGTTCAGTGAATGAATGATTGTCCAAATGTATCATGAAAATACGTACCTTATTAGGCTAGTTGTGCTTTACTTTATAAAATTTTGGAGGTCTGGAGTTTGTTTTTTCCCACTCCAAGTCAGTGAAGGTATAGTGTTTATATTTGTGTTACTTGGTGTTAGAGATGTGGAGTGCTAATCACTCATTGCCTCCCCCCCTCCTCTCCTCGATTCCAATTGAATATAAACACAAAATGAACATTGGGTAGAGATTGGTATATGCTTTATTAAACTGAGCAAGTGCCCAGTACCCTACAATGCAGAGGTTTTGAGAAGCTAGATTCGAAGCAACTTGGATTCAAGAATGCCCAGTGGAGCACTTGCTCCTTTGGCAGTTGCCCTCCTCCCTTGATTGAGAGTTGAGTAAATCTGACCCGGGAGGGTTTATGGCAAGAAACAAAAAACAGATAGCCCACCGTCGTTCTCAGCAAGACATGAGCAGGCCATGAAAAGACAAAATTGAACTTGTTTTATTCATCCACTAGTTAAAAATGTGAATTGTGGCCCAGGGGATGTCAGATTCCACTGGTTAGACTAGCAAATTCTCCGCATATGGAAATGATTCCATAGGCAGGTGGAAAGAGAAATTGAAAGGATTTATCCAGCTCCACCCCTCCCACTTGGGGAACCAAGCAGCCCTGCCGTCTTGGGTGGAAAGAAAGGGGATGGTTTGCAATTATAGTTATCCCCTGAACAATTGCATTTGTGACACATATATTAAAATACACCTACAAATAAATAATCTTGACCAGAAAAGAGCTATCAACACAGGATGTTTCTGAGAGTTGATTGAAATTGTGAGTCATCTAGACATCTGCCAAATTAAAGTAGGCTCTGTTTGTACATATGTTTAAAGGGAAGAACGGATGTTAATCCAGCATCTATTCAACACCTGTTAATAAGAAAGGTAATACTTATGAAAAAATATCATGTTATTTTTAGTATGGGTAATCTATTTAGTATGGTTAATATTAACTTCAAGTATAAATTCAGGAGCTTTTACGTTTCAGGTTCGTGGGAGTAAGGGAGAAGTTCTGTACATTTTGGATGCTACCAACCCACGGCACTCCAACTGGCTTCGCTTTGTTCACGAGGCACCATCTCAGGAGCAGAAGAACTTGGCTGCCATTCAAGTGAGCTTATTTGCTTCTTATTTGTACTGTGTACTGGGAGGGGAATGAACTAATTTATAACTGTACTCCCTGTTTTAAATTTATTTCCCAATGACCTGCTTCAAATAACAGTAACTAACTCATAAAAGCAGAGAAATCTCATCTCGGCAGCATGTGCAGGAAAGGGCAAGCCTAGCTGTAAATTGACACCAGATCACTCACTTTATGAGAATCCTTGAGGGAATGAATTACATGGGCTGATATTGTCCTTGGCGGATTCTGCTTTCAAGTACTTTTAATTCACTCAGTGAATGTTTATTGATAGTTTTTCTGTTTGATGGTTTATTTGGCTCATAGCACCATATTCTGTGATATTGTTTGGGAAAGCCTTCATGGAGAAAGTTTATTTGGGTATATCCCTATGACTGTACTCTGAGCTCCTTGAGGGTATTGTATTACTCAGGGTTTTCAGAGAAACAGAACCAATAGGATCTATGTATCTATATCTGTATATCTATATCTATGATGTATAGCTCTCTATCTGTCCGTCCGTCCATCCATCCATCCAGAGAGAGAAAGAGACTGAGAAAGAGGCTCATTGTAAGGAATTGGAGGCTGGCAAGTCCAAAATCTGCAGAGCCGATGTCCCACTTTGAGTCCAGAGGCAACAGGCTGCTGTAGAACAAGGAACAGCTGAGGGATGGTCGAGTTCAAGTCTGATGACTGGAAGGCTGCTGTGGAATCAGCAAGAGCTAATGTCCCGCTTGAAAGGCTGTCGGCCTGAAGGGTGGATATTCCAGTTTAAAGGCCACCACGCAAAAGAATTCTCTTTTACTTGGGGGGAAGGAGACCCTTTTGTTCTTTTCAGGACTTCAGCTGATTGGCCGAGACCCACCTACATTGTGGAGGGTAATCTACTTTACTCAGATTCATGCATTAAAATGTTAATCTCATTCAAAAGCACCCTCACAGAAAAACCCAGAGTAATGTTTGAAAGACTGTCTGGGTGCCCTGTGGCCCAGTCAAGCTGGCACATAAAATGAACTCTGCCAGGTGGGATCAATGTTTTCCTGAATTCTGTATCCCTATATCTTAGTATAGTGCTACACACAACATTAGTCTCTTAATACAAACTGTGAGTTGAACTTCGGTGATCCCTCGGTGGAAATTAAGGGAAGAAGAGAAAAGGTCAAGGCAAGGAGTTTTTAGAGGGGCTCTATAATTAAAACTCACTGGACAGATCATTCAGAGAATAAAGAAACATTACATTCTGTTGGGGAGTTAACTTATCACATGTGAAAACTCAGCTCCTGAATCCTAAACTGCAGAAGAGGAAGCAAAGCTATGGTTGGCAGAAGCAAGAGGGAAGGGAAAAAAATAAGGGAACTAACAGTTCTTTGAGTATTTACCCGTGTGCACTATTCTAGAAGCTTCATATATATTATGTCATTTATTCAAAACTCTGAGCGCTTATGCTGATTTCACTCAATTCCAAGTCTAAACCCAACAGGGGCAAAAGGGGGAAAAATGCACAGAATTAGGTTTTAAAGTAACCAGAAAACACAGTCATTTAGAATATTTCATTTCCTGATGTTGTTAGCTAACTAGATTTCTTCAGTAAAAATAAGTAGTGGGTCACCAGTGTGATCACTGTTGCTTTTTGTATGGATAAATGAGTGATGACTTAGCAAAGGGCCACGTGGGGGATGGAAAATAGGATCTTTTGGCAGCCAGCTGTATTCAAGCCACTTTTTAGATTGTTCATGACATGTGTTGATCCAGTCACACGGTTAAGTTGATCTCTTTTTTTTTTTAATTTGTAGACATTATTTTTTTCAAGTATTTTATATTTTTTTATGGTTTTCTGAGGCATACTCATCTCACAGGATCTTCAATTATATCCTAATTTTAATTTACAGACTCAGTTTAAGTGTTTCTTTGTAAATGTTCACAATATCAAAATTGCCTGTAGAACCATGAAACCTAATTTAGGCAAACCCATATGTTTTATAGGTTCTTCATTATTGTGTTTTAGAGAATATTATTCTGTTTAAACTAGATTCTTTTCTTCTTATGCTTAAATAATTATTTTAAGCTGTTCTCAAATTCCTTTTTGGGCATTTCTTCCTATTGGCTGTTATTTCTGTAGCATCAGTAGCTCTCTCCATTTGCCCAAACTTTCAAGGTATAATATGCTCAGCTTTGAGTTTTGCCCCAGAATCTCTCAGGTTTATCCTTGTTGAAGAGTTCCCTTCAGCTGTACATTTTGCTTATACTGAATTCTTTAGTTAACGGATTACTGTCAGTAAGTATTTGTCTCCATCTTTCGCTACCCACATTTGCTACTCTATGCCCTGTTTATTTCATCATATTGTAGCCACCTACACTTCTCTCCTTTTTGGTAACCATGATTTCTAAGACTTACACAGTTTTCATGTTAATTCGGCGTATTCAGTGCAGTACTTTTCTTCCTCTATTTCAGCTGTGTTTCTTTCCTTGAAAGCAAATAGGAATCTACAAAAGATGACTATTGCAACTTTGGTACTCCAAGATGTTATTGCTTGACTTGCTAATAGGGGGTGAAGTGGGAGTGGGATTAGAGTAGGACTCATAAACTAGCTGGAGGCTATGTGAAGTTTCCCACTTGAATTTAATTAGAATCTATGACTGTTCAGAGGCCACTGTGAGAGTCTTTGGGTGCAGAAGTGATGACAGTGCCTTTAATTCCTTTTAACATGGTTTTGGCCTTTCCTAAGCAGGGGTTGAGTGCAGTGCCACCATGTTTCTTGCCATGGAGCACAGTATGGATCTTTGCTAGCTCCCTTGAGGTAACGTCTTTCTTACTTGAACAGTAGCTGGAGAAGTGGATTGCTCAGGGTTCAAAATCACATCTGAGCTAGAGGCAGAGAGCTTAATATTTGGGTCACATGGCTGACAGTGATATCATCCTTCTGATTAGTTGGGATTATCTCCTGAGGACTGCGTTCCAGAAACACTGAATTGGTAAGAGAAGATCATAATGTTTCCTGCAAAGCATTATGAATCACTTGCATTCCAAATTGCATCTGAAATTTAGGGTATTCAGGAAATTTTTTATTTGAGCTGTGTGTCCCAGGAGTGAAGTAAATGAGAAACATTTGTGGCTATGTGGCTTGCTTGGTGGAAAACGTCAATACTTGGTCCAGTTGTTTTGGACAAGGGATTAAGAATTCGAGGTCTGTTTTGGCAGATGATGGGAACTCTTTTTTGGAGACTCAGTTATACTTCTAGTTTTGCAATTTATTTGATTTTGGAAGACTTGCTTTGGAAATGATGATTTAAATATCTGAATTACTGAAGAAGGGTCTCATAGGCTAACAATTCCTCCCACATGCGCACATTTCAGAATAATCAGTTGAACTGGATGTTCAGACCCATGAAAACTATTTCCAACTAAACCAGAAAATTCTAAACATGAAAGATTTGGCTTAAAATGAACCAAGAGAATTCTTAAGCTCCGTAAGAAACGGGTGATTCTTATTAAATGCTAATTTTATTATACTAAAGGAAAAAAATATGTAATATTTGAAAAGTAATTGAACTACTTAGTGTTTTGCAGGCTTTTGAAAATTTCTGATCTTTTGGTAGAAAACTATTTGTTTAAATACAGAATTATGTCATTTAAAGTTAAAACTTGGAATTCTTTAGTCATTTGAGAGCTAGAGTATTATATCTCATGTTCTTAAGACATGTGTCCAGACATACCTTTCCTGGGACTTTTCACAGTATATTATCTTATCAACCTAATGAAAGATGGCTTGTTATTCTTAAAAAAAAAAACAAGGAGCATTATGGAAGAATATTTGGGTCTTGGTCTACTACTCCGTGAAGGGTGCCAGGGGACGGGGTGGTCTAACTAAGTCTAGAGGGCACTGGGCTTTGAGCTGAGCTTGTGGTATCAACACAGCTCCACCCTGATTCCGATGTCAGTTTGGTTTCCCCATTACCAGGAAAGCTGTTTTGTTACATATTATTTGCTCTCCTACCTATGCCTTGTGAGAGGATGGACAGTCTTAGACAGTTTATCCCAGTGTCTTTTCTGGCATTTCAGTATGAAGAAGTGGGAGATCAAATGTGGCTCTCCAAGGAGAGCACCAACTTGCGTGTTTTTAGAGCCCCAATAGTACTTTCTCCGTTGTCATCAAGCCACCAAGATCAACAGGCTTATCAAATAGTGTTGTTGCAGAATGGTACCAGCCAAGCAGCCAACCAAAAGAAATATCAAAAGGATTTATCACTTATACCCCAAATTATACATAGTTTCCTCTAATTCTGTTTCTTCCCCATTTCTATTTTTTTCCTATCAGATTTGTACAAATGGTATTTCTACAATATTTTCTAGACTCTGTATGTTACAGAATTGTAAGGTGCAGCTCTCTAGCGATTTTCTTCAATAAAATATCAGTTAAATAACTTGCAGCTCTGTCTTTTAATGGGTTATCTTCCAGTAAGGTACATATTTGTCTTTCACTAGGGTAAAAATTTAAACTAAATTAAAATCACAAGTAATTGGTCCTATGAGGTTTTAAATACCAACCCTACTGTTGCCGTATGTTCCTACAGGGAGTGGGGGAGTTTTATTACTTATCAGTTTATTATTTTCAATAAGGTTGTAGTTTATTGGTAGGGAAAATGAATATGTATAGAGAGATCTTTAAGATATATAGTGGTACCTTGAACGATGAGTTAATCCTTAATAATGATGATGTTGGCAGCTAACCCTTTCTGCATGCTTACTGTATGCCAGTAAATGGTGATATGTATTAAGACCTTAATACTTACTGTGACACTATAATTATCATTTCCCTTTGTCACATGAGGATACTAGCACACAGAGAATCTAAGTGACTTGTCTGAGCCACACAGCCTGTGGGTGGCTGGATAGGATTTGAACCCTGGTGAATTATCTCCCCTGTCTACTCTCTGAACCTCTGTGCTCTAATACCTTAGAGTTGAGATAAATTATAAAGGAGTAAAGTCAG